AAACCCAAGACACCCAGGCATTGTAGGTTCTCCTGCAGGAGAAATGAAAAACTATTGCCTGTGCATTTTTCCTGGAAACCTTTTTTGCCAGTTTTCTTGATCAAAAGTAATTTATAACCCCTGAGAGACAAATGTCTTCTTTTGCTGTAAAGCTTCAAGCAGTTTTTTGCAACCCTGAGCAATCCTTTTTTTTTAAATAATAAAGAGCATTATGATAAGACAGATAAACATTTATTCTTATTTATTATCCGTAGAGTGCTTTCCAGACACATAGGGAAGGTTCCCCTTTCCAGCTCACAGGATGGACAGAGGCCAGAAAAGAGATAAAATGAGAGGAATATTCTACACAAACTGACAAGATTGACTACAGGCAGCAGGGCTGGTAGGGGGAGTGCTTAAGGGGTTTAACAGGAGCCAGGGTAGGTTTTATTTATGTCTGGTTTACACCCAGCTTCTGTGCCTGTATAACTATGCTGGATGGCAGAGCGATGTTTTTACACAGTTTTATCAGTACAACCTAGCATGGACATGGTTAAGCTACTATCATGGGGTCTTTCCACACCGATCCCCTTGAGGACAAGAATAACTATCCTAGTATAGACACTGCTATACCAGTCGAATTGCATCCAGGCTGCGAAGGGTTGTACCACCTCAACTGAACCACAATAATGAAAGCCCTATATTTTTTTGCATGTAGAATAAGCCAGGTATATAGACTTAAACATGTTCACTCCTTACCCTTTTGTTGTCAGCGGGGCTGTGGTAGAACTGAGCAATCGCCACCTTGCTGGTATTCCCTGCACCAAAGCTGAATTTCTCTGATATTTTTTTAAACGTCTTCCCATAGTCATAAGACACGTAAACCTGCAAGGGAAAGAATCCCGGGATTATGAGCACAAAGGTTTCGTTTCCAACCTGGCAGTCTCCCGGCCTCTCTCTCTTGTTTATGGGTTTCATAACATTTTATACAACCCTGGAAAAAAATACACGCAGAAGAGGCTATAAAACACGGGATGCAGGAGGAGCTGAGGCCACACTTCCTTACACAGGCCATAACGATGTTGAAAAGCAGAGGCAGAAGACAGGGTGACACCATGCTAAGGGAAAGACTGAGAGATGCTTTAACAGGAGGCAGAGAACAAAATGACAAGTCTATAAAGCCTCAGACAAAATGGTAGAAAGGCAAAGCTAATTCTCTTTCTAAGCAAGCTACTGCTACAGCTTGCAGCCAGCTGGAAAAGAAAAGGCAAGCAGCTCTTCTCTTCCTTTCTCCAGTTAAAACCAAGGCATGTATTATTATTACAATTATTATTATTACCTTAGTGCCTAGGAACCCTAGCACTGGATCAGACTCTCACCGTGCTAGGCATTGTATAAAGACAACAACAACAACAACAAAAAGCAATCCTGCTCCCAGAATACTTAAAAGTATTTCCTTATCCTTGTCCTAGTATGAGGAATAGCTCATCTGGGAGACTGGGAATAGGATAAAGACCTTTTTCCTCTAGACAGGGGACTCATCACTCAGTTGAATGTATCACAGTAAATGTGGTATTTGAGCTTCAGGATAATGGAGCTATACCTCACCTTTGCCAGGCACTTTGCAGCTGGATGTGCTATGTCAAACTGAGCGTGCACGCTACTCCTCTGCTGGCAGTGGTGTCCTGCACCGAAGCCTGGGCAAGGCACTGAGCAGCCTGGCCCCAACCCCGCAGTTGGTAAATGGTCATTTTTGTGTATCATGTTACCCGCTGCCCGGAGTGAATGAAGTCTGACCTGGTCCCAACCTAGAGTGATCTCCTTGAACTTCCCGTTGGATGGATGTGAAGTGCGCAGGAAAGTGTCTCGCTACAGTCTCCACCTTCTGATAACAGCTGCAGCCACCTTCCCTTTGGCTGGCAGGCTCAGCGTGAAATACCCCTGATCTAATGGGGCAGGAAGAATGAACACCTTATGTGGAGATGCACCGACGTAGGCCAGCCGGGTGGGGAAACAGTGCTACCACTCACACTGTCACTCGGTGGACAAAAAGGCCACAGTCTGCATCCTTCAGACTGGGGATAGGAGGAATGAGTATCCTTTAAACCATAGTCAGCTCATATTGAGCCACATGTTTCTGCACAAACTTGCCAGCTTTTCTTCTGTGTGGCGTGACCACCAGGACTCCCCGGAAGGATAGTCCATAAGTGGGACGAGACAACGGGTCTCAGACACAGACAGAAGGATCTGCAAACGGAAGCCAGCGCCGAGACACGAGCTCTTTGCAGGTCTGGAAAAGATCCGCTGATTTTTGAAGCAGAACTGCGGTATGTCAGCGGGAGACAGATCATCCTCCCGCAAGACGGAGGCAGCAAAGACACTCTCCAAATAAAGCTTCCTGTTACATATATGGAACCAGTTCATCCTGCAGAAGATAATGACCCCTCATAAAGGAGATTTATAAGCAACACTGTGCAGAGATAACTAGGATTCAATTTATCTGTTTCAGAAAGATAATGGCCTTAGTCAGCCCTAACTGGATTGGAGCCCATGGGGAAGGAAGTCTAAGTGGTTTCTATCTGAAGTTCAGACCAAGAGGCCAGGCTCTCGAATATATAACAGAAAGGCAGGCTGTCACCTCTCAGGAGAACAACTACATACATATCACCGCACACGACGCCATTTCCAAGGCCGTCTCTGTAACAGTGGGAAGCTGCATACTTACATCGCTGTTCTGGAGACTTGGTATCGCCAGGCTGTCTCTAGCCAAGGCCACGATCACGTTGCTCTTTTCTCCTGCCCAGTGCACGACCATCTGATTGTGAGAGTCATTCAGGCTCACCTGCAATGCACAGAAAACGCATGTAAAGCAGGGAACCAGAGCAGCGCGCTCAGAAGCAGATGGGCAGCACCCATTAAGTGTCGTTTTATTTCTCTCTTCCCTATCGACGCAGAAAGGTGGAGGAAAACGGTCACAGGAACCAATTTATTTTCCATAACAAAACCAAAAAAGAAGAGAAGAGCACCGAGACATCTGGGGTCTGGAAGCTTTGCTCTCAGAAGAGAATTGGAGGGGCTGGCGGTCAGATGTTGCTCTTATTCTCCAGGTCGCTTGCTGCATTTCAGTGCCCTGGAGTGGTAACAGCTGGATAGCTACTTGGGTGCCACTGCAAAGGGTACCCAGCCTGTTCCCTGTGGGCCACATCACTGAAGACTTCCCTAGTAATCGGTCCACTCCAAGCAGAGAGGCCACGAGGCACAGGCCTGCTTCTGCCCTGTTCCACTGATTTTACTGCTCTTACCCCAGCTCACAATAGCCCTGATCCGTAAATAACTATCCTCTTGCCCACATAAGGATGTTCCCAGCTCCATGGGGAGGCACAGATGCACCGAGTCATGGCTGGAGGGGACCTCAAGGGTCACCCAGTCCAATGCCCGAACCATCAAGGAGCAAGGCAGGGGAAGCTTTAATCGGTGCTGCCTGCGCTGGACCCATTCTATGGCTCTGCAGTCCCCAGGGCTGCCTCTCATCAGTGCTAATTTTCTTGTTCACTTTTTCCCTGCAAACAGTGCAAATACCCCACAACTTCTGAAGCTGAGCGGAGGAAAAAAGGGCACTTTGTCTGCAACCATGTTGCCCCTGACCTAGACCCACCTATGCTGACCGATTGCACCAACGCAATTTTATCTCTCAGCTCCGCTGCTCTCCCTCTCCCCAGAGGACACGAACAAAACCCGGTCTTCTGCAATTATGTCAGCTGGACGCCGGTGATTGAACCCCAGGGAATCCTGATACCAACGGAAAGGGGAACGACTGACAGCCAAATAGGCTGCTATTAACCAAAAGGAAAGCTCTCGAGGTGAACCGCAAACCTTTTGTCTAAATTAAAAGGCCCCTCGGAGCAGTGACCTCCTGTAGTTTTAATCCTGGCTTCAGACGAGTAGCTTTTGGCCATATGGCTCCCAACGCTAGTCCAATACCAGAAGAAAACAGCTCCCACCCCCTGGGGGGGCGGCTTCTGGTACCTTATGGCAGCTCCTGGCCGTGCATTTAGTATTGGTGCAAAGCTAACAGTCATTAAAGGCACCACAGTACTGGTGCTACATTACTATACACAGGCACTAATACAGCACGGTACTTAAGTGTCTGCCTATAGGATGACTTACCTGCTGAAAGTCAGGCACCTACTTTGTTGAACTGAGACCCTAGACAAGGTAGAGGTGCATGGGAACCCTATTGTGGATAAGCTTTTGGCGGGGGGGATATTATTAAGATCTAAGGGAAATTACATTTCTAAAGTGCTAGGGACAAGGTTGCCATTTTCCACTGGTGCCATGGACTTTTCAGAGGAAGAGGAAGGGGAAAACCATGAAACTCAAATCTCCCTCTAAAGAGTTTTGAAATCTCATACGAAGGGGGAAGAGAAGTGAAAGCAGAAGCCTCGTTTTAGAAGAAGTGCCTTTCATGTTGCTAAGGATGGTCCCATAACCTTCAGCCCAAGGAAACATGTTTAACCACAAATAAACCTGTTGTGCACAAACGCAGTCATCTGACAGCCTTGTCACAGGGCAGGTCAGCGGCATTAAAGGGGAGCCTGCGCAGGAAGCCTTGGAATATAGGCTGTATTGTGAATTAAAAACGCAAGAGCTGCTCTGCACAAAGGGCATATTTATACTGCAGTCCCTCTGTGAGCAATGCAGTTGGCATGGCACAGACATGGGCAGGGGCTGGAAACCACCCGCTTGGGTAAATACCCAGGTAGCTGGCTTGTGTCCAGGTGTTTGCTGCTGCAGCTGCACTGTCAGCAGCTCCCAAACTACCTAGATTATAGCAGAGATGCAGCACTGACATAACCTAGGCTCCCCATGAGGATACGCGTGTTATGGAGCAAGGGTAGGTCTGTGTTGCACAGGGAAGTGAGGTTGTACCCAAGCTAGTTTTAAATCCAGACGGTATAGGTACTAAGAAAAGCAGGCTTCAATGTGCATTAGCAACCTGTGGGCAGCACCCCAAGAGAGCAACGGTGGCTGTACACCCTGAAGTCCGCGTTGTCGTGTCTTCCTTGCTGCTGTTATCCAATTTAGCCACGTGCAAGTTAGTCCAAGTGTGCCCGCAGGACAGAAACCAAAACTCCATTTTGCAGGTATGAAAACTGAGGACTGAACAGAAGTGGCTTGCCCAGGGCTCATATACCAAGCACGTAGCTTGCAGATCCCCAGAGTCCTGAATGCCAGTCTAACTGCTAGTGCTCAGTTCTCCTCTTTAAGCCTTGTCATCATGTTAATTTGCACTAGTGTGACTTGAATCTAGTATAGTTCAAACCAGCCACTCGTATTGCTACATATTTCACCATATTTCAAAGTGGAGCAAGCTACTTCACATGTACTGAGAACTAAGCGTGTCCACGCAGAAAGGAGTCGGCAGTTCACTGCATATGCACCACCCCCTCCCCGACACGCACACACACGCACAAACTTTCCCACGTGCAGGTTTACACTGAAAACACACACGCATTTTTAAACTGAGGAGTGTCCACAATGCAGCCCAACACAGCTATTTTAATTAATCTAGCACAAGTCTGTGCATGGACGAGGCCGCAGAGTCATCAAAAGGGTTCAGTTCTCCCTCTTTAACCCATCTTGTACGCAACGTGCTGTTCAGATGGAGGAGCGTTTTTATGTTTGCTCTGCACAGGTGCAGCTCATGACACTACTTGTGGCACAATGCAGAACGGGGCCGGCAGTCGGAGGGGGCCTGGGGAGCTGGCAATGCACGTGCAATCCTTCCATTCGGGCTTTGCTACAGGAAAATTTCCACTGATCTCAACCAGACGATTGCCCGAGTTAAAGGCTTTTTAAGACTCTTCCAGTGACAGGCACATAAGCCTTTGAAAACGATGCCCTTACTTTGATAGCTCTGCGGGGGGGAAAAGAAAGAAAATTCTAAAAAACTCTACTTATGTAACATATGGGGGGAGAAATCCTTCCCTGGGCCTGGCAGAAAGCAGCAGCCCCTGAGATCCACGTGACCGGCTCCCCAGCAATCCCTGGCTGAGTCAGTGCCTGTCATTAAGAGGAACCCCCTGAGACAGGCCAGCAAGCCAGAGCAACTTGCAGAAAATGCTGCAGAGATTTAGGTCAGTAAACAGCCTCAGCTACAAATAAAGCAAGCAATAGCCTTAATGACAGAAAGAGCTGGGGTGGCTGGGAACTGGGGAGCGCCGATCCCAGCCTTGCCCATGACACACCATGTGGCCCTTCGACTCTACCCCTAAAGCACCCGTATGCCTCAGTTTCCCCTCTCTCTGAAAGGAGGGTGCGAATGCCTGCCTCGCAAGGATGCCAGGTGAAATGCGTGAATGTTTGTATAGTGCTATAAGCAATCCCAGACCTAATCCTGCCATAGCAATTCAAATTTACTGCCTTTAATCCAAGAACAACCCCACCGGCCAACCATGTGAACTTTGGTGATGTTACTACACCACACACGTGGCCTTGCCTGTCTTGTCAGCATCTCTCCCAGCTTGAAAAAAAACCTCGAAGTGAGGGACACCCAAAAAACTATTTCTCCGGGACACCTGAAATGCAGGATTCCTGCCTTTGGCACAAAGAGCTCTGCAAGCGGCCTGAGCTCTGCGGGGCTCTTTATCTGCCAGAAATCATTTTCATCAGCCAAAGGGAAGGGCACCACATCTGTGTGAAACCTGGATAACGTGGAGCTAAAAAGCAGCTGTTTCGTGAAATGAGGGTGCAGGTTATAGCCGCATTAGTGTAAGGACATAGACAGACAAGGTTCTTCGGGTGAATCTGATATAGGTTCGTAGATGTTAGGGTCGGACAGGACCTCAGTAGATTGTCGAGTCCGGACCCCTGCCCTGGGCAGGAATGAGCGCTGGGGTCAGACAACCCCAGCTAGGTGCTTGTCCAGTCTCTTTTATCAATATCTGTATCTCTGTATCTTTTAGTAGACCAACTTAAATGGGAACATTTGAGAGACAGCAGTATCCCACTGCATAAGACCAAACGTACATGCCCACCCCATGCCCTGAAGCGGTCTACTCTGAATCCCCTACCAAATCATTACAGGAAATTCTGGGGATCAAACCCATAAACAGAAAAAACACCATGTTAGGATTTTATACCATAGCCTATCGCTGCAGCATCTGGATGCCTGACGCACAAAATCACTGGCAACCACAAAATTTCCATTAGATTTCATGTTGTTTCTGGCTCTTTTCCCATTCAGGGCCAAAAACTCCCTGGGTGTGAGTTGCTTGTTTCTGGAAAGGGTTAAGATCTATTCATGTCTTGCTTTTTTTTTTTTGACGGCTTGGGAAGCGTTGGTGGGATTGTGGGGGTGTCCATCCTGTGCGTTTCTTCAGGGAGGAGACCCTTTGGAAGAGGAAAGTTTTGGAATATTTCCTAAAGTCAGACTTGCCTGATCTGGCATCCCTCTCCCAAAGATGCTTTGTTCCTAGCTGTCATATTTTTAAGGAATATTTTGTGTTTCTCTTGGAGGGAAATGATGTATGATGAGACCTCCTGAGGCTCAGCACCTCGTTGTGCCATGCACGCGGAGCACAAACCACCGCTCCGTCTGTGAATGCTGGTGGTATATTCAGCCCAGGAACCCACGTCCCTCAGGGGAAAGCTTTGCAGGGAGGATCCTGAATGTTTTTTAGGTGCAGAAGCAAACTCCCAGCACCAGGAAACTGTCTGGGTTGGGGGAAAACAGCTGAGCCTCATTACTGGTTAGGTCCCAGGTGATCTCATTACCTCAAACGAGCTCAGTTTGGACTAAGCCTATACATAAAGGCTAAAGCACTGCTTGAAGTGGCTGGG